TTTAATTTTTGGATAAATTTTGTTTTGGTATCGATTGAAATTTAAATTTTAATCTAAATCAAAATTAACAATTAATTTTAATAACATATTTCATGGAATCCATAACTTTTTAACTTTTATCAAAATATACTAAAAATCCAATTTTAACCCCCCAAACAAGGGCAAAATTACAATAAATTTGGATTTTTTTCATTTTCTCTTATTCTATCTTCCGCTCCCTCTAACACCTTCTATCAAAACCTTAATACTTCTAATTTTTTAAAAATTTGTCTATAACTTTTCTACAAATTATCACATCCATTACAAATTTTCACTTTCAAAACAAATTTTCAATTAATTAGAACTTAAATTTGCATTTTCTCATATTTAATTTGTTTACGTAGAATGTGTTTGAATTGATTATATCCAATTTAACTTATATTTAACGAATTGTATTTATTTAATTGAATATTGGTTATATGTTTTTCCTTTCGATCGCTTGAATTGATTGTTCGTATTAAATATACTATAAATTTTTTAAATATAAATATGTATTTTCTTGTGATAAGCAAAATATTAATGATTGTTCGAAATCAAATGGATGAACATGATGAGCAAAATATTAACAAAGAAATGTTTTTTAAATGTAAATCTGCATTTTCTGGTGTCGAATATAAATTATTCAAAAATCAAAAACAAAGTATTTGATTTATACAGAATTTGATTGTGTCCCCCTAATTAAAAATTTCTGAGTCTGCACAGATAGTTAGTTTTACAAGAATAAGGAATAACACAATAATCTAGTCTTGTTGATTTTCGAGAATTCCAACTTGCTATGTGTTTCGCGCGTGTTAATTCGCTAACAATTAAAGAGGATCAGACGATTGTGTAAGGGACGAAACCTCTTGAGACAAAGTCCCAAAAAGGGGTGTTCTTTTTATTGGCGATGAACTTTACAATTGGAAACGGAAAACAACGTGCCTCCAAGGGGCGCAAGCACACGAGTTACAGAAAAGGAAGTGTTTAAGTCTAAAAACTAAAGGAATGAAAATTACATATTCTCTGTTCGAGAGTTTTGGATTCGGTCCTTGCTTCTAAGTTCTTTCTCCCTTTTATACTTCATAGGCGATCCCTTTGTGATTAACTGCTCTAAGAAAACTGCTTGATCGCCCTATAACTACCCACTTTCTTCGTAGTGGCCATTTTGTCATGAAACTGTC